AGTGAATGAGAAAGTAAATTGTTGGTATCTATGCATTTAGTGGACATGTTCTGTCATTTTACTGTTCTACTGCATCAAGTTTGTGTTCTGGTCTCATATAGGAAGGATGTCCTTTTTCGTCGTACAGACGCCTTCTTCTCTTTGACAAGGTTGAAGACAAGGACAATGGCACACGCGAGTGAGGTGTCAAATGATTTTGTTGATGCTCACTCCTACTACCTCAATCGTCAATAAGCAAAGAAAGGGGCAATCAAAAGATGGGTTTTCTCCACATCAAAAGCTGTGAGTTACACAGATTGCTTGCTACAACTGCAGTATCCAACTCGTTCCATTCATTTCACAGATACACTAAATCTTATTAACTGTGCAGTTTGGAATTCAAGAAATGGTTGATGAGATGAAAAAGGACCTAGATTACGAGTTGGTAGAGCCAAATTACTTTGATGAGATTGACCTTGAAATTGCAACCTGCAAATGGATCCCACACAATGTCGACTTCCGAAAATGCGACTATGTGGGTGTTTCTTACCACTTATCCATTTATGGTGTATATTGCTCTGGCTGTTTCTTACCACTTCCACATCTCAAGAATAGACACTACATTACATTTGTTGTCAATTTGAGGGATAAGAAGTTCCAATACTTGGATAGCATCAACCTGAAGAGCTTGGAGGAGTACAAGGACATTGGAAAAATGGTCGTCAAGTATGCATTGCATACATCGGGGTATGCATGGATGATAAATTCAACTTCGAGGGAAAGTGCACAAGTGGTGAGGCAGAAAGGTGGGACAAGTTGTGGTGTGATTACAATGAACAGGGCTGAGTGTTGGGAAGGAGAACCAGAGGATTTCATGCTCTAATGGAGGAGCGAAGAAGTTATAAATGATGGTAGGGATATTATAACTCTAAAGCTGCTGCTGGATCCCGAAAAATCTATTACTTGAAGGCTAAAAGTTTGGCTTATAAAGTTTGAGTAATAAGTAAGTGGTAAATATGCAAAGTTGTAGTAATTAAATGAAGTTTTTTCAGAACATTATGTCCTACTTGTGTTTGTGGACTACTTTCATGGGTTTGTGTGGACATGGTTTTAGTTTTTTTGTTCAGCTGAAACGTCTAAGCAAACTGGTGCGTCTCTTTGTAAAATTACTGCTCTGCTTCTTAAATTTGTGGTTAGTTTTATCGTGATTATGGTAATATTTATCTACCTTATATTCAGCTGCAGTTAAATTGTGGATAGCGTTTTACACTTACTGGTGTAGATTTTGGTGTTTGTGGGCCGCTTCCAGGAGTTGGTTGTAAAGTGAGCAACAGAAAATAACCTTGGTGACGCCTTTATACCCTAAGTTCCATTTTCCATTTAAATCATAGCACAATAAAAAAACACCCTCAGTACAGACCACAATAAAGTACCCAAAATAATAGTATTCATAACCAACTAAGCTCCATCTTGAAAATCTCTAATTCTCTTTACAGATGCTTGCTCTCCAAATCTCTACCTTCATTGATGTTGCCGCTTTGCAAAATCCCCTTTAGCCCGCACCTTCTTCTGTAACTTGAAAATCACACCAAGTATGTAAGAACGATGGTTGATCGAAGTTTTATTGTTACATGCACAATAAGGAGACTACAGTACCTCCACCTTCACACCAGAGTTGCCCTGATCATAATCCTCGTCACTCTGTTCGGCATCCTGCGTGGTTGATGAGCTTTTTCGTTTATGTTTTGGTTTTTGGCAATTGGATGGCCCCAGCTCGTCCCCATTATTTGGGTCAACACCATTATTGTCATTATTTGGATCACCACCTTCACCTCCACATTTGTAGCAGCAGCCTCAGCAGCAAGCTGTGCATCGGCCGGCCTGACGTAACCCTCCGGCTTTTTACAACTGGTTATTTTATGACCATGGACTCCACATCTCTTACACTGTCATGCCTCTCCTTTTTGCCTCTTGGTTTTTTTACCCCCTTTAAAATTGAAATGAGCTGCAAGTTATAGATGAATAATTCTACACGGGAACATCATGAATATCAAGTGTGACAATCTATTAATTTTGTAATGAATCCATCACCTGGAAGTGAAAATTCAAGCCACATCAACATTATTGTCTTCTACTCTTTCGAGAGTCTTGGGGTGCTTTGACCATTGCAGTTTCACCAACTTGCATGGTACCTCTTCTTTGTTTTCTTCTATGATCACAAAAACATGTGAGAGCAGGGCAATGCCATATAACTATAATAGTGACAGCTACAATCCATCTCCAGTGGGCAATCGTGTAGGTGACCTGCTAAACCTTGTCCTTGCCCAACATTGTTATACTGTAATTGTGCTGGTTTCATGAGATCTCCCTATCCACCCTTGTGTTGTTGATGATTTTTCAATATGGTCTCTGAATTTGAAAAACACCTTCTTCATATATAATTTGGATGCACTCTTCTGAAGTTGGGTAGGACATTGGAGGTAATGGTTCAATCTCGGTGGATGAATTCGAAATCAGCTTACACCTCCTTTTCCCTCATGTTTGTGGCCCAACGACCAAAATGGATGAAGAACTCAAGCAGATTGTGAGTATTTTCGATATACTTTGTGAGTTGGTTGTTCATTCCTTCGCATTTGGATGTTGTTGACAAGCCTACACAAAACTTGGTGCACATGTATGCGTACCCCCATTCCCTTCGTTGTTCAAATATGTGGTTTAACCACTGGATGTGACCCACATTGAAAACACCGATCAGAGCTTTCCATTTGGCTCCAAATTCTTCAGGTTCCCAATCAGCTTTGACAAATTCTTCCCATTTGAGCCTAAAGTCGGAATTCTTAACCTTCACTTTCATATTATTCTCTATGTGCCAAGCACATAAGCAATGTGTTGCATCAAGAAATATCTTCTCAATAGCATTACACATGGATTTGTCCCCATCAGTAACGACAGTCTTGGGTTTTGCACCGAGCCATTTTTGCAATGCTCCCAAAGCCCATACATAGTTTTCTTCCTTCTCACTAGACAACAAGGAACATCCGAAGATTTAGCTGTTGAAGTGGTGGTTAACTCCTACAAAAATAGAAGCATATTAGTGAGTCCATGAAAACAGATGCATTAGTCTTCAAACATGACATGCCATTCTCTGCAAAATTAGTATACATTATGAACGTACCAGAAAATATAACTAGCGGTAAGTTGTAGATGTTCTTTTTGTATGTTGCATCAAATTCCAATAACTCTCCAAAGCATGCACAATCTGCGATCGAAATGTTATCTGCCCAGAACAGCTTTAGGAGCCGCTCGTCGTCATCTTTCCGTAGTTCTAGGACAAACTGGTCGTCCGCGCTGAGTTTAGCATGTAGGTATGCAATGACGGTAGTAGCATCACCCTCACTGATTTGTTCATTCCGATCTTTGTCTACAAAATTGTAGCAATCCATCTGTTTCAAACCCATCTTCTGGTAGCCTCCCGATTAAGCTAGGGCTAAAGAAAAAATCTGATGCGTTTTCATGCCTGCCGCTCTTCGAAAAGTAATGGGTTTTAACTGCATTGATCATTCATCGATTCCCTCTCAGGTAGTGTCTGTATAGTGTGGGAACTGCATTGTGATTGTGGTAGTTCAAATTTTTTTCTATAAACCAGTTCGATTCAAGGGCGTTATACATAACGCGCATCCTATCTTCATAGCCGAACCTTGTTTCGCCTTTTGGCTCCCTCTTTCGTTTGTGCTGTGGATCGTGCTTCTTTCCCCGTGCAGAGCACACAAAACATAGCCATGCTATCACTCCGTCCTTATTTTGATATAATTTTTATTTTCTGACGTCAAAGCTAAAGGCCAAACCATAGTCCCTCCAAAAGTCAAATGCTTCATCAATATCAACGAATCTTAGCCCATGGATATAGGCTTCTGTAAGCAGTAACAGATTGTTGAGATTGGGTTGCTCAGGAGGCGAACCTTCATCGTTTGGTGGAATCTCCGAAGCAGACTCAGGGCTAGTTACTTCAGGGGTCTCACCCAATTCAGCGTCCTCCATTTTTGTTTCTGCTCTGTGGTAGGTCGTCGGCGAGAAAACCCCTAGCACCTCGCGCCGACTCCTTTGAGAGAAATTACCCTTCCTTTTACATTTACGCTCTGTCAAACCATACAACGCAATATCAATTTTGAGGCAGATTCATTCAAATTTCATCACGTGAGGGGCTTGGCGTGTCTTCAAATCCGTTTCCACACAGGAGAAGGATTATCCAGTCTCCCAGCTTGGCTTGTTTTCTCTTGGAATTCATACAACTTCCACATGACATTAACCAAACTAATTTTTTATCGGTTTGTTATTTACAAAGGTGAACCAATGTAACATAACGTTAATATAACTTTAAGACCAAAAGCATGTTAATGCATCAATTTTACTTTCCCTAATGCATAAATTACAACAATAAAATCAACACATAGTTAACCCTAATAGAAATTTTCTTCACAGTTAAACCCATAATTAATCCCCTAATTAAATCCCCAATTAACACCTAAAATATTTATAAAAAAAGCCCCGTGGCGGGCTGACGGTTGTCCCGCCCACCTTTCGTTATAACTTTTGACCGTTCGATTGCTATTTGAAACCAAACAAATATATTAAAAAATTGGAACATTCTTCCATTTGAACTTAAAAAAGGAGTCTACGAAATTGTTCGAAATCGCTGTAATTTTGAAGAACGAAGCTCATTTGGTGTAACTTTCTTCCATTTCAACTAAAAACAAAGTATCTCAGAATTTTCCCCATAGTTGAAGATGATTTATTGGGGCTTGCTCTTTTAGCCATATGGTTGTGGATAGCCGTACTGATGGATCAAACGGTTTTCACAGTTCAACGTAAACCAAATGAACAAAAGAAAACACAGATTGAAAACATGGAAAAAAACACAAACAACGCATCCATATGCAAAATATCCAAAAAAAACTACATAAACCTAAAGTTCAAGGTCAAAAAGGAAAAAGATATCCAGAAAATTAGTAAAACATAACCTACTAGGCTACAAGTCCATACACAAACAAAAAACAGATTGGTCCAGCCCATACCCCATATAAAAAACAGATTGATCCATTTGCTGCATGAACAATCTCTTTCTTCCTCTTCCTCCTCCTTCCTCCTCCTTCCTCTTCACTAGACTTGTCAACGAGCCCAAAATCCACTAAATCATCATCATCATCATCATCTCCCATATCCTTCTGTCCATCCCTGTCTTCTTGATCCCTGGTTTCCGCCATTCTAGTAAGCATCTCGTCTATCAGACGCCGTTGCTGAGCAGCTCGTACTGGGTACCGAAAATCTTCAATGATGGCGGCAACAGGATAGCACACATAAATGTCACCAGAGGATGGATAAACATCAAGATCCGTGCCAACTTGGTTGAGGAACATGGTCACCAGAGTGGCATAAGGAATGCAGTAATACCATCATTATGATCAATATCAGGGACAGAATTCAGTATATTTAGACACATCGGGGATGCAAGATTGACCTTTTGCCCTCTAGATGCATGGGACAAGACAAATATATCCAAGGGGCGCAACTCATTATGAAAAAAATTATGCGCGAGGAAAAAGTTAGTGACAAGCTAGTGAAGCAAATGGAGATCATCATCTAGAACAGAGCTATCTTTAATTTGTTCCCTCCTGTTAGAACCTGGAGATCTTACTCAGAGTTTACATATTCCTGCTCATCTATCAAGCAGATACCTCCGTAATCAAGATTCAGTTTTTCAGGAAAACAAATTCCAATCAAAGCGAACCACCTATCCCAAAAACTCTGAAATGAAATATGGACCAAAGGCATATACCTTCCTTTCAAAAGATTGAAACAAAAAACAACCGGACAACAATGGGGCAGATGTGGCAGGTATTTGCTCTTCTAACCTAAAAAAAAATTCTCCCACCCAAGACTAGTAACAAGTCCACCCAAGACTAATAACGTCGTGTCCATAGTTTTCCTTTTATTTTTTATATGTCATTATAGAAGCAGAGTTAGCTATCAACTTCTTATCGCCTGTCCCTCCTCTTGTAGCTACCTTGTAGGGTTGTTGGTGTTGTGATTTAAGTTAGGGTAGACAATAATGATGAAAAAATCCTTATGGAAGATCCTGGTTACATAGTGTGGTTACCGAACTAGAGTTAGTTAACACTTTTGGTCTACTTTCTATGTTTTGTGTACTGTTAACCAAACATTGTGGATCGCTTCATGAACATTGTGGCCTGCTTCATGAACATTGTGGCCTCCATCATGGTATTTCTGGTATGGTATATAAGACTACTGGATCGCTCTAAAATATTTAGTCACTAGAAATGAACCAAACACTTGGGCCCGGAATGGGCCCATCCTCATTTCATAAGTAAATCGTCTATCTGGTGGGATTTTAAACTTTAGTCGTATGTTTGACAAACATTCAGCAAACAGTAATGCTCCCATTAAACGAAGTTATGCGTTTCACTTCTTCTTCATCCATACGACGCAGTTTCACTCTTGACAAAGGACTCCTTCAAATTTCGTTACGCGCGAGTATTGGCTTCAAATTAGATAAGTCATAACGTGCGACTATTGCTGTGTCCTTCCAAATCCTTTTCCCTATAGGAAAAGAATTTTCAGTCATCCCAACTTGACTTGCGTTATTAAGTAATTAACCAATGGCTTTTTAAGAGAACGCCTCTCTCAACCATGGTGTTCAAAATGGGTCGTGGGTTAACCCACAAAAGTAATTCTCCACCTAGCCATTAAGAAAGTAGACTAACATTTATAATAAGTTCCTAGAAAATTAACAAGACTGTGTCAATTTAGACTCGAAAGTATAAGAAACAACATATTGTCAATTTAGACTGGGTCATTCGGATGACCCGTAATCCACCCAACACAGACCCACATAAATGCGGACGGGAGATTTGTCAATCCGCAATCCACCCACATTAATCACCCACTATTGGAAAGTGGGGTTATTATCGGTGGATCTATATCAATCTGTGAATTAAACACCCACATGTACACCCAATGCAGTCAAAATCGCGCTTTGAAACTTAATTCGATTTTGATTACTAATTCGATTCTGAAACCCCCGGGTACCAGAATGGGTGCGGTTAGGTCGTTGGTTAACCCAGAAAGACAAATACAATGTTTTGAGCAGTATAGACACTAAGTGTATTATACAATTATTTCTTGATAGGAAAACACATCAATCTCCCATCCCTTTCCCTCTGTTCTAGAACTGAGGGTTTCTGAAGAACCCTAAAACAAATTAAGTACATAAACTATTAAATATTAATTAAGTATGGCCAAAACGTGACTTTGATTCGTACGTCCTGGCCAACCATTCAACGGAAGTGGATTAGGATGTAACATTTTTGGGATGTGGGGGACTGGTACTGTAATTGTATTTATAACTCCACAAAAAAAGAGCCCATTAATTATCTCGACCATTGAGATAGATCGCATGGCAGAGAAGCCTGGTGTACGACATGCCGCCAATTTTTGATGGTGGACGATAGACGTCACCATATATATGGTGACTTCTACGGTACCCTGAGTGAAATCCGGGGTACCGCATACCTTGAGTATGAAAACGCTATCTAGACCTCGAATTAGTAGGATTTTTGGGCATGATACTATACCCTAATCCTTATTGAGTGAATCCTAGGTGCTAATTATCTAAATCATAAACTATAAACCCTAAGATGGTGCATTAATTTTTTTGCCTATATTTGGACAAATCATAACCATCGATTGTTGTTTCTAATTAAATTGATCTTGGGGTATAAGATTAGAGAATTAAGACCTAGATTTTGATCTTTAAGGGTTAGAGTATAGTATCATGTCCGAAAAATCAGTCAATTCAAGTCCTGGATAGCGTTTTCTTACTCAAGGTATGCGGTACCCGGAATTTCACCCTGGGTACTGTAGAACTCCCCATATATATATATATATATATATATATATATATATATATATATATATATGTATGTATATGTATATATGTACGTACTATATGGTTTCATTATTACTAGCAATGAAGAATAAAACCCCTAATTAGTTGTTTTAGTTTATTTATCGTTCATTTATCCCGATGCTTGATCCCTCAATGCATCAAAGAAACCCATATTCCCATGAATCATGCCTGCCTCCCGCGAGAGCGATGTCGTATTTTGCTACAAATAAATATGGTGGGAGACGCATCAAAAGCTGTAGAAAACGTGTCTGTTATCGTTCAACAAGAGCAACTTCAGAAACATTTTGCGGTGAAGTGAAGCTGTTAGAAACCCGACTATTATGAGTTTCTCAAATGATTTTAGTAAGATAATTATTATTATTATGGTTAGTAGAGATTTAGTCAAATTAGGGTTTATTAGGATTTTCTCATATTTTCCCTATAAATATGTACTTTGGGTTTACGTCATAATCAATCAAGAAAAGTATTAAGCAAAGTATCTCTCATAAATCTAATCTTTCTCAACTACTAATTTCTATTCTCTCTTAATCCAAGGCCTCGGCCGATTCTTGATTCTATTATGCTTTTCTCATCTAAATCACTAATTCTTTCTCTCAACCCTAAATCCCTATTTATTACGTGTAATCGCGGGTGTCAAAGATTAGTCCATAGAATCCCTAGAAGAGGGGTTCTTTCACTGGTATCATAGCCTGGTTGCAGGCACTCGTACCATGGTTACGGCCAACGTCGAGCTCTCAATCAGAGAATTCACAAGAATTTTGAAGTTGAAACAAGAAGAGGCGACGAGGAACGAGGTTAGCTCGCCCTTGTCGCTGTCTGGGAACTTCGTGCGGGCTGCCCCATCCAAAGTCGCCGCGTCGAAGGAATCAAAATAAGCCGTGCAACAACTCCCCGCCGACGCAACCTTGAAGCTGCTGACCCAGAAGGAGGATCTGAAAAGGGTTACGACTGTGCCACCCGACGTTCAGTAGCTGAAGAAATTCGTAGGGACTGAGGAGCCTCCACTGTCTAGCGCAGCTCCAACCCTCGTCGTGCTGCCAACTGTTATGGTAGGGGCGACAATGATGCAGCAAGAGACGGAGATGCTTGTCGGTAGTAAACATGTCCCTTTTGCCACAATTTCCCCAGCTGCAGCCGAGTATGGGATCGTCTGCAGCAAGGAAGGGAGCAAGTCACATCTACAATCATTCATCTCTATTGGTATGTATCGACCCAGGCGGAACGAGCTTCAAACTTATAGTTATGGATGAGGCCTCAGACGACTATGAATGAGGCAATAGTTGGGTGTTCAAGAGAGACAAAGAGCATGATACGGAGCTGGAGGTGAAGGAAGAGACAAAGCAGGAGCGACACCGAGGCGCGAGCGAAGTTAAGACAGGGATTTGGTGCACCTCCGAGCTGGTGGGTGTACATTTTTTTCGCCAGTGCTTGGTGCGCCACATCACAAGAAAAAGGAAAAGAAGGGCGGTGGTGACTGCTACGTACCAACAACCGACGTGCTCAGGTGAGAGACGATGAGCTCCAGATTGGGTCTATTTCCTCACCGCCGGATTGGTTGTTCTCTGTTAGAGAAAGAAGAGCAAGAATCGCTGAAGGAGAAGGTCAACCGTAGTTCTTCGCCGTCGGCATGAATCTCATAGGGGACGTCAAGATCGAAGATCATTCCATCCTCGAAGACGAGGGAAGAACCGGCGGAGAAGAAGGCGAAGGATTTTCCGGGGAAGAAGATGACAGAGGAGAAGGGGACTGGCGACAATGCTCCTTCCACGTGCAAGCAGATGGTCTTCTGACCCTTCCAAGAGTTGCAACCCTACAACCTAGTTGGGATAGAGTCTGCAGAGCTTGGGCCCATCAGTCTTGGTCATGGACTGGTAAAGGAGAAGGATGTGAGAAGGTATTTAAAGAAATAAGAAGGTTTGGTGGACTTAGCAAGTGGACTTTCAGAGAGACAAGCCCCAACAAAGTTAGGAGTAAGAAGAGGCCTTACTTGTGTTTGGGCCACAACGTATTCTTCTAAGCCAATTTGGGCCGACCCAAGGGAGCAGGAAATGAAGGTTGGGAAATGTTATGGGTTGTTTTCACAATCAAATTCATGGAGGAATATATGGAATATTTCCTTGAAGAACTCGAGCTAGAGAATAATGAAGAACAATTCTCTAATTCTTATTTTTATGAAATTCGAAGAAGAATTGTTTGGCTATGGAGGACGTGACACTTGTCACGTGGGTGGAGAAGAGTTGAGTAAAGTGGGAGTTGCCCGAGAATATTTCATTAGTGGGATCGAGCGCAATTGAAAACGAAGAAAGGAGAAGGTAGAGAAAAGTCAGCTGCAACCTTGAGGTCAATGTTGCTTTTCAAGAGGGGTGGATTGTTAGAAACCCGCCTATTATGGGTTTCTCTAATTATTTTAGTATTATGGTTACTAGAGATTTAGTCGAATTAGAGTTATTATTAGGATTTCTCGTATTTTCCATATAAATATGTACTTTGGGTTTATGTCATAATCAATCAAGAAAGTATTAAACAAAGTATCTCTTCTAAACCTAATCTCTCTCAACTCCTAATTTCGATTCTCTCTTAATCCAAGGCCTCGACCGATTCTTGATTATATTATGTTCTTCTCATCTAAATCACTAATTATTTCTCTCAACCCCTAAATCCCTATTTATTATGTGTAATTGCGGGTGCCAAAATCAGTCACTAGAATCCCTAGAAGATGGGTTCTTTCAGCAGCTACCGATAAATGCATGTTTGGTCCATAGTTCATTACTCAAATTGAAGTATTCCATGATGGAGCGATCACATTGATCCAAACGATCTAACTGCTAACTATATTTCAAACTGATATGCAGTATTTACCGTCGAATATGCAAAAGTCAGATGTCTCCATATTTGGTTTGTAGCCATGAAATTAGCAGAGACTTAAACAAGTCGATGGATCCAAAGAACCCAACAACTAGGAATGTACCATTGTGTCATTTTGTTCCACGTCGGGATTTCCTTAGCAGAGGGCAGGTTCCACCGGTTTGCAGAGGTGTCAACGAGTACACCAAGGAGGCCTCTTCCTAACACGAACACTCTATACTAAAATTCCCATAGGAAAACATTCATTGAGTTTTAACAAACTGAAGGTCTCTCAAAGTCCATTGATGCCGACTCTGATACCATGTTTATCAATCACATATTAGTCGAAAAACGAAACAAACAACCAATCTGATTTTCGTGGTATCCCTATAATGCTAGGACTAATCCTCGAAGATTGTGAATTTGATCATTGTGATAGTCTATTGTTACACTCTTATATACAAAACAACAAGAAAGAAGAAGAAAGCAAACACATTGAACCTTAGGAAATGACTCTAGGACGCTATTACTCCTTGTAAGGACTGCATGGACCTATAAAAATTGGGCTAGCAAGCTACTGTCTAGGTGTGGACTGTAGACGTCTTCTACAAATTAATGTATGTATCGTTTAACAAATCTTCCCCAAATTCTCCCCGATTCTCATTTTCAATCCATAATCTCGTGTCAAATATCTTCCCATTCCCCCAAAGGGATGAGTTTAGCTGCTAACTGCATTGTTTGTTAGCACCATGCTAACCATGTTTATAACCATTAGATATAAAAATAATCTGATGGTTTAAATTTATTAAAGGCTAATTTGGTCAAAACTTATATCAAACCGTAATATATATCCATCCAACCTTACCGTAATCCTTCAGCTGGCACTCCTTCACAACCTCTCTCTCATAAACTTCCCTTGCTAGCTCGTGCGTCGGTCTGTGTCTCTCAATTTCCGCTTCTCCACAAACTCGTTGTCGTTTCTTTCTCCATCATATGCACCATCGTCGAAACTCGAGATAGAGAGAGTTTCATTCCGGATCTAGCTTCCTCATCGAACAAATCTGAACGACGAGGTCAGGAGCATGCTTCTTGTGAGGGGAGAGACGAGATTCATTGAGACGCGTGTCTCTGCCGCATTATGACTGCAATGGAGTAATGGACGGCTTGGTGAGGCCAGTTGAGGTTCGTCGTGGAAAGACGAAAGGGCGCAGTGGAAGTTGGGAAAGAGGAAGCTGTTCGGCGCGGCGGGGTATGACGTGGTGGAGAATGCAAAGTAGCTGGGATAGCGGCAATGACCTTTGCTTTTTAGGTTTTTTATCTGTATTATAGTATGTGTTAGTAGTGATTTGTATGTAGTAGTTATGTAATAGTAGTAGTGATTCTTGTAATAATATGTAGTGATTTTTATACGTTATTAGTATTGTTTTGCATAGTTATAATACTATTTTTCATTTGTAGTGGGTTTTTTTATAATATTTGTAGCGATTCTTGCTAATTAAAATTTGCTAAAACTCTATTAGTTTCATGAAAATAACTACTAAACTTATAAAAACACTACTACCAGGCACCAAAACTACTACTAATAATTGTAATTTTTTTGTGTCACTTTGCAGTTTTTCTCACGTAGAAACACTAATTATTAGAAAGAGGAGAGAGATTTTAGATTTTGAAATTTTTTCAAATACCAAATAAGTCCTTCATTAATATCCACCGTTAGATTGAACTTAAAAATATGAACAGTGATTAGAGTAGTTAGTATGGTGCTAACTCCTATGAAGTTAGCACTTTAACTGTTCCCTTCCCAAAATCTTTGTAGTTCTGATTCTCAAATCCCTATTCTATAGCCATAGAAACTCGGGTTTCTAATAATGGTACTTCAAAAAGGACGGGCCACTTCTGTGTTTGGTATGGTCTTATACTGAGGAATTGTTGTACTTGCTAACTATGGACTTTGTGAGCTGTAGATTATGTGACAGATTAAATCTTTGGCAGACAGCTACTTAACTTTTGTGTTGTGAAAAAGGTTGCACATCCCAGAAATAAAATAGCGGTTGGACATACACATAGGCCTGTTAATCGGTGGACGGTTTTCAGTTTAACCGTGAAACCGAACCGAGACCGTCGGTTTTCAGTGAACCGACCACCGATTTATCGGTTGCGGTTGCCACAAACTCGCTATTAAGAGAAGGCAGCGGTTAGCGGAAATAACCGCAACTGTGGCGGTTAAACCACAATAACCGCGAGACATCCTCCATTGCACGGCATGACGTCGCTTTGGTTGGTGAATGGTCTCTCTCGGGCGATTGAAACAACAGCGAAGAAGGGAAATGGAACCCTAATTTTGCGATTCCTGGCAAGCCAGCGGGAGAAGAGTCTCACACCCTACCCCGCCGCTTCCCTCCCTTGTTCCCTGACCTCCCCTCCCCGGCGTCCACGATGCAGTCGTCATCATCGCCTTGCTCTGGCGTCCCCACCGCAGTCGTCGTAATCGTTATCGCCATCGCCAGTCACCTCGCGCCAGCATCGCAACGCCCCAGCCTTCATCCTCCCTGTCGTCCTTCGTCGCCCCCAGTCCCGTGATTCACGCCGTCGACCCTCAATCCCGTCGTCGCGCCCCCTTTCCAATGTGAGTCCTCTCTATCCCCGTAAATGGTTTGGTGAAGGGTTTGGTGAATGTGGATTTGTGAGAACTTGTGAGTTCTTGATGGCAGAAGATCAATAGATGATGGTTTAAGGAAGATTGGAGAAGGTGGGGGACAGATTGTCTTGGGTTATGTTAATGAGAAGATGAATATATGATGGTTTAACCGTAATGCGAACGTAGGCTTGTTAAAGAGAACTGGATGTAACGGCCCGAGAGACAGGTGGCAAGAGTGATGTGTACAGGTGGGCACATGTATAAATAGAAGAGTCGTATTACAATTGGTTATCTTTGGTCAATCATATGAGCTATAGTGCACTTTACCAAATTAGTTGATAGCAATAAAAGATAGCTTTCTCTCTCTCTCCTATCACTTCTTCTTCTTCCCTCTTCCAAATCCCCATTTCGCCAGAACCTACTTTAGCGGACCTTACAAGTGGTATATGGAGCCTTCCTTCTGGCAATGGAGACACACACTTCTCGCATTGTGAATTTGGAGACTCAAATGGCGGAGGTTCGGGTGCAGATCAACACGCAACATCAGGATCTAATAGACGTCATTGCTGCGTTGGTGGCATCCACAAAGTACAACATCGATGCACTGGCGGCTTCCATGGCTCGTGGGCGAGAGAAATCGCCAGTTGGTTCTCCGCAGCGGGCCGACGTTCGTCGATTTTGGATCACTACCCCAGGCTCGAGTTCTCTTACTTCTCCAGCGCCGATCCGCACGGGTGGGTCAGCAAATGTATGAAGTTGTTCCAGCTCTACTCTATTCATAACGATCAGAAGGTGGAGTGGTCTCATATTAACTGGAAGCCCGCGTTTATACGTGGTATGAAGGCTGGTCATTTCCGCGATTTCCGTTGATTTGGGGGCATTTCGTCGATGAGCTCTTCCATCGCTTTGATAAGTAGGAGCAGATGCACGTGGTGGCGTCTTTCAATCATTTGCGCCTGAGGAGCTCTGTTTCCCGCTATCAAGAAGAGTTCGAGGAGTTACGATCGCGAATGCTCCGCCTCAATCCGGATCTCAATGAACACTATTTCATCCTCAGTTTCTTGGGAGGGCTGGATGATGAGATTCAACCCCGCGTGCAGCTGCTTAATCCTCCGACGCTGGCTTGCGCGTTCTATCAGGCGCGATTGGAGGAGGCGACCATTGGAGCTCGCAAAAGGAAGAGTCGTGCATCTTCTTCCACACGTTGGCCTGCTGCATCTGCTCCGGTATCCTTGTAGATTCCATCCCCGTCTCCTTCTGTTCTTTCTTTGGATTGCTCCTCTGTTCCTAGGGGGCAGGGCCTTTGCTACAAATGTGGAAACAAGTATTTTCACGGCCACATCTGCGCCAAGAAGTAGCAACTCCACGTTATGCAAGCTGAGGACTCTCCTTCGCCAAGTGAAGAGGAGCTAGGGGAGGAAGAATACCAAGATGCTGAGCTTGAGGTGTCATTGCAAACGATGGGGTCTGGTTATTCAAGAAATTCATTGTTGATGCCAGCCACTATAGGTCACAAGGAGGTAATTGTTCTGATC